CCCTGCCCTCTCCCAATGCTTGCCCATAAAGCATGACTAAGTCCAGAAGAACCAGCCTCTGAAATGAGTCGGGGGATGGAGGTGTGCCTTTTGTTCCAGGGGATAGTCTCTGCTCTTCCTGTTCCCCCTCTGCTGCAGTTACATCCTGTCTAGTTCCCTGAAGAAGACAGGATCTGTACGGATAAAGCTTGGAGCATTACCTCAGATGGATCATGGACCCACTGGCCATCCACAAAAAATTTGTACTGGTGCTCTCCTTCTGGAAGGTCCAGGATAGCAACGAAGTCGTTGTGGCTGTGCAGAGAGAACAGATGTACAACAGCATCACCCTGTTGATGCTCTGAATGCTGCTCCTCCACGGGGCCCCAGGAACCAGCACTGCCCAGCTTCTCTACTCCAACAGCTTCATGCAGGGTTAGGCTTGCTCATCATCAGTGACCCAAGGCATGGCCATGACAGGCCACGAGCATTCCAAGCACCAGCATGGCTCAAACCCCTGGCAGCCCTGCTGCAAGTGACAGTTCAGCCCTCTGTGCCCTAAGAAAATGGATGTGACAGACACCCTGTGCAAGACAGGCTAAGCAGAACACAGGGGCAAAGCTCCTGCCCTGTGCTGGCACAGAAGGACAGGAGAAAGTGGGACAGCTCTGTTTGTCAAGCCTGAAATTGAGATAAACTCACTCCAGATTAATTGCTAGAGTCCTACATGAGCTTCCATGTAAGTCACAGATATGTTGCAGAACAGCAAGAACATCATTGGGGCAGGAAGATACGTGAGGGACAAACAACTAACGCCCACTGGCAGCCATACAACTAGGCATGGGGTAATGCTGCAGCCAAGGGAAGAGCTGACAGCTTCTAGAGGACTGCTGCATACCTGGGCAGGCCTCTGCTGCCAGCACTGGCTGCTGTGTGACATCCAGCTGGGCAAGCAAAGTGGCCCATCCTGTCCTGTCCCCATTTCACAACTTCCCACTGTCCCCGCAGCACCACGCAGGGAAGGAGCTGACTGTGTACCTGTCTCAGACCCACAGCTTGTGTGAACAGAGAAAAGCCAAGAGAGCAAAGGAAAACGTTCTCTGCACTGGAGCAGACATGAACATAGACTAAATGACTTGAGGGACTGGCTACCTCTTGATGAGTGGGATCTTGGTGCTCCAGTTGTTGAAGGATCCGGAGATGAAGACCTCCTTGCCTCCATCAGCCCAGCGTATCACAGTTGGACGAGCCTGTTGGGATGGTTTCACTGACTCCTCCAGATCTGGCTGCCACGACACAAACTCCTTGTCCCCAGGAATCTGGGAGAAGAAAACCAGAGAGATGTGACTAAGACACAGAGACAACTGTGAACATATTCACACAGCTGGCCTCTACCAGCCCAGCTGCACATGACACACAGGAGCACCACAGAGCTCCTCCAGCCTCTTGAGACCCCTTGCACGGCTGGGAGCACAGCCCCACACAGGCAGTGAGCCGAAGCTCCGGAGGGCAGGCAGGGAAGGGAGCAGCCAAGCCCTACCTTGGAGTCATGGGAGCTGAAAACGCTGGGGTCGTCGGTGCTGCCCACCATGATCTTGTGCGGGTGCTCCTTGGCAGGGTGGGAGGCACCGGAGCCGTCGGAGCGGTGGGATTTGGAGCCATGGCGCTCCCCAGACACCCGCTCGCTGGTGGTGTTCCCCATGGCAGCTCAGCAGCCCCTGGCAGGGAGACAAAACAACGCTCTGCCTTTGCCCACGGGCTCTGGCAGCAAGGAGAGGAGCACCACAGCCGCCTCCCAAACGTTCTTTGCCAGTGGAGATGAACAGCAATCCTAAAAAAGGGCCCAAGTTCATTTCCACTACCAAGTTTGGGAGCTGAATGGGAATTCAACAAATGAGACAGCTTGACCTAATTATAGCCATGTCCTTAAGAACCATCACTCTAGTTAAGCTGGTAATTGTTAAGACTCCAAAACCAACACAACTTCACCTGGGTCCCACATCAGCCCTTGGCAGCCAGCAGAGCAGAGCTGACAGGAAAAATAAAGCCAACCTTTACTGGCAAATCAAGTGCCTGGCATTAACAGAGCCTCTTTCACAGTCCTGCAGTCAGGCTTTACACACAACCCCCGACATCCAGCAAGAAAACAGCCAGGGACTGAAAGTAGCAGCTGTTTCACAGTCCCCAACAAGCCTTCAAGAGCTCACAGGCAGAAGAGAAGAGCCTTGTGCCTGCAAAGGCGACAGGAGCATTTAAAGTGTCCGAATGGAATCGCCCAAGCTGGAGCTTGTCCAAGGACAGGGGCTAATGCTGTGGTGTCTGCAAAAAGCTCAGCTCTCAGCAGCATTCACTTATGATTCACCAGGCAAGTCACCGTGTCAGCTGCAGCGCAGCACAGCGAGGAGGACCATTTGTTGTGACCTAGCCAGCACCTCCCTGCCTGTCTGGAGGGACACGGTGAGGGAAGGCAGCCCTGGCCACCTCGGTGTCCCTCTGCAGCTAGAGATGGGCCACCATCCCTAATGTCACCCAGCTCAGAGAAAGCAAAACAGGAGAACTGACCGAGCCATGAACAACTACACACCTTTTAGGATAAACAACAAAGCCACTGCAAGCTACACAGGACTCTTCAGGCCTTACCCTCTTCCCAGGAGCTGAGATGGACTGGGGTTCTTGCCCACTTCCAGGCTTATTTTGCAGCTTTCTACCGTGGGCTCTGCAGACCAAGCAAGGGGACAGCCAGCCTTGCTTCATGTGCTCACTTGTGACATTTGGTGACTTGTTTAAAAGATCAAGTTATACAAAGGGTGCCAAGTGAGTCTGCCAGCCAAAGCCAGGCTTTAGAACATTATGGAACAATTACTATGGTATTTCTTAAATCCTGAGGGCTAAAAGGCAGCTCGAGTGGGCAGCTAACCCATACCTCCACTCCTCTCAGTGCAGATCAAGTATACCTGAAGATCCAGGTCAGATGAGCTACACCTCTTGCTCTGACATCTTCCCCCTCTGCTCTGAGGAGGCTCAGACAGCTCCTCACAAAAACTGTCCCTGTACCAGCAGACCTGCTGTTGTGGAGTTTCCTCTCCAGTATTTCCACTAAGGCTCCCTTACTTCACATCTCCAGGGAGGAAGGCAAGAAAGGCTGAGCTTCCCTTGTAGCAGGACAGACCTGGGAGATCTGTGCAGGTGTTAACAGGAGTGAAGCTTCCCCTTCTCTTCTCTAAAAGGATTGCAGTCCCTCTGTCCCTTGCAGGTCTCGCTCTCCAAACACTCCCTGAGGCTTATCCCAAGCGGTGGCTCCTGTCTGGCGTGTGCCATCTGAATCCCCAGCATCTCACACACACACAGGCACCCGGGTCTTTGTGCACAGCCTGCAATACCTGGCTTTGCTGAACTAACTTTTACAGCTCAAACCCTCCTGCACCCAGACCAGCCCTCGTAGCATTGGGAGGTGGTGTGACACAGGTACATCCAAATCCATGGATGGAAATGCTGCCAACACCAGAGCCCCAGAAAACCTCCACGGCATCTCAGGATCTCCAAATGTCCAGTCAGGACATTCACTCCCAGTCTGGCAGCAACCCCCTGCCAGCCGCGGCCCACAGCAAGGTGGGTGCCTGCTTTCCCCATCACCAGAGCCCTTCGGTTCCAGCCAGCCCCATCTTCTCATATGGAAAATGACAAGTGAATTATCCCCGTTCCCTCCCCGGGATGTGCCGCGCTTGTTGCCTCTCGCAGCCGGGAAGCGGCGGCACGGAGCCCAGGGGCTTTCTGCAGCGGGGCTGGGGTCTCCAGCAGCACCGGGAGCACTGGCAGGCATTCCCAGGGGGTTCTGAGTGAAGGACGGGGTCCAGCATCTCCCCGGGCTGACACCACCCGGGGAAGCCCGATCCGCCCGGGCTCTCCCTCTTTCGGAGTCAGGAACCAGAGCTGAGCCCTGAGGTTGCCGTAAGGTTAAGGGGGTGAGCTGGGAAAGCGGGGGCGGAAAATCTCCCACCGAGCAGGCAGGGCTGGGGCTCAGGCTCGGCTCGGCGGGGCTGTCAGGGCGGGCTCGGCCCACGGGCGCCCGCGGCTCTGCCGTGACCCGGGGGAGGAGCGGGACACAGCGGCAGGAGCCGGGCCCTCCCGAGGGGTCCGCACCGCTGCGGGCTCCGCGACACCGCTACACCCAGCCGCGCCTCACCCACCGCCTCCCGCAGCGGCGCCCGGGGAGCCGCCACCCTCACACTCACCCACCCACCCGTGACACCCGCCCCACCGTCCCGGGGCCCGGGCCCGGCCCGACCCCACCTGCTGCCGCCGCCGCCGCCGCCACCGCCCCGCTCTCCGCCTCCGTCCAAGATGGCGCCACGCCCCGCCGGCCGCTGCGGGGCGCTCTGACCCGCCCCCCGCCCGCCATGTTTGCCGCGCCTCACGCCCGCCGCCATGTCTGCTGCGGGCCGGGCTGCGGCACCTCAGCGGGGACCCGGCTTTATTGCTCTTTCCCCAGCAATTTCCCGGTTTCTCCAGCACCGCTGCGGTCTAACCCATAGATAGAGCTGGTGGGGCTGGCGGGCCGGCATGGAGGGAGCTGTTCCCGGAACAGAGTCGGTGGTGCCACAGCGGGATGTACCCAGACAACAACAGAGCAGGCTGCACCCGCAAGGAACCATCCCCTCCGTGCTCCGGCACAGCTAGCGAGAGACAGCAGACACAAGCCTGTGAGAAATGAGTTTTACTTCTTAAAAGTTTTAAAAGTTTAATAAGGGATAAAAGGGACGGTGAACAGTGTTGGGTGCTTGGCAAACTGCCAGAGGCACGCTAGTTTTGAAACAATTTTCTTACCTACTTTATCATTGCAATGGTCACATGCACATTTATGAAGATTATACATATTCATGAGTTTACAAGTTCCGGGAATTCTTTTGCTTGGTTTGACCTTTCACCTGTCTTGTTAAAGTTTCATGCCAACGTATTGCAGATGAAATCCACGTATTCTGTTTCCTCACAAGGAATTCTGTGACATTGACATTTCTTGGTAATTGACAGTTCTTGGTAACCGAAGAGTTAGTAAATTCCTCCTTGCATTCCTTCTTTTGATGTTTATTTACCTGGGTTTTTTTCAGTGTTATCATACGGATAAGATACTCTATAAGTACATTAAATCAACCTTAGCTAGTTCACAACGTTGAGCTATTCTCACCATTGTCACTTACACAAATAAAGGCATTAGCTACTTCTTCAAAAGTTAACATTACAATGCACAACACGTAGTCTCTATTTTACTATTTTGCGAAAGCCTAAACTATAATATACATTTATCTACACGTGGCCAGGGCATTGGCCACTAAAACTAACCAATTATAACATATTAAAGCAGTTAATTACAAGCTATACTATACCAAAATCATTACGATCAATAACAACTTGCAAAAACCAATACATAACAACAAAACCCAACAGCTACACAGTTATTTATAACAATCCCAGAGGAAAAAGAGAAGATTACCAGCAGGAAGGGCTGTCTCCTGCCCTTAAGGAGAGAGCGAGACGTAGACGAGGGTGGCCGCGATCATGCCGATGCTGAAGAGCACCGTGAGGACGTGGGGCACGGCGCTGGAGCAGGCAGGGTGGCCGCTGGCCCGGGGCTGCAGGGCCCTGACCACGCGCTGCTGCTGGGTGAGGATGGCCCCCCTGGCCCCCGGCCACGCGCCCGGGCCCCGCAGCCGGTACTGGTACGGCGTGCAGGGCCCAAAGGCCACCTCCATCGCCAGCTTGGGGTCTGTGAGGAACAGGGTGAGCAGGTTGGGCTTGACTCCCAGCTGGCAGGCGAGCTCATCCATGTAAGGGATGTAATCCACCTGGATGGTGTGGCGCTGGCTCTTCACGTACCTGTGGGCAGGGAGGGAGGGAGGGTTTGATGTGGGGGCACCGGGGGTAAGGGTGGCAGGGCGGTGCTGTGCAGGGGCCTTACCGCTCAGCCATTCTCTGCTTGGTTTGTGTGATTTCAGCCAGCATGTCGGTGGGTGGCGGCAGGCCCTGCAGCCCTGGGCAAAAGGAGGCTGGAGCTGGAGGGTGGGCTGTGCTTCTGCCATAGTCTGGATGGCTCTGCAGCCCAGCCTGGCCTCTGTTTGCATGTGGGGCTTTCTTAGGACATGCTGCCACGTCAGGAGCAAAGTGGGAGACATGGGCAAAGGAAGTAACAGCAGGAAAGGGAGGATGTGGTTGCAGGCAACAGGACCAGTTGGTGGCCCCCACAGGAAAAGAACAGTGCAAAAGTCGTAGAAAATTACAGAGCAGGGTTTTGGCCTCATGAAGAAGCAAAAGGAGGATAAAAGCTGCATCCCTAAACTGGCCTGACTTACCTTTGAAGACACGGGTGGCCCAGCGACACTGGAGCTCGGAGATGGGCATGATGGCACCCAGGGGCTGGATGAAGCCAATGAAAGCCAGCGTCGGCTTCTCCAGGTCAGGGGGGAACATGAATTTGTAGAGGGGAATCTGGTTCTCCACCACCTTGAAGCCCTCGAGGAACGGGAAGGAGAAGCTGTATCCCGTGGCAAAAACTACGGCATCGACGTCTTCCCTGGTGCCATCCTCAAAGATGGCAGATGTCTCCGTGAACTCCTGGATGTTCGGCTTCACCCGCACCCGGCCCGAAATGATGCGGTTGGGCAGGTCATCGTTGATGGTCAGGTGCTGGTGAAGGACCCTGGAAGGCACAGACAGACCTCGTTCAGGCCCTGGCAGGGAGATGGGCATTGCTGGAGCAGGTACCTGGGGTGCTGCTGGGGCGCTCACCGGTGCTTGGGCTTTAGGCCATAGAGACTGTGGTCAAAGCGGGCGTTCAGCTTCCGCTCCAGGAAGAAACTGATGATACTCGGGGGCAGCAGGTTCTGGAGGAGCTGCGTGAAGCGGCTGATGTAGCAGAAATCAAAGGGGTATCCGCTCTCTGCTACCCGGTGCAGCACCCAGGACCCGTGCCTGGTGCTGAGGAAAACCTGGAAGGAAGGTGAGAGGTGGTGGCACGGCAGCATCCTCAGACTGGGCTGGGCCCCTGCTGTGCTCCAGGGACAGGGAAACCAGCACAACTGCTGGGACCACAATAGCCACCCCCACAGAGAGGGGACAGGGTGCTTGTGGCCGGGTGCTGGAGGGAGGGGAGCCCACAGGGGATGGAGGGGGAGGACCGGTGTCCTCTGGGGTCCCATCCCTGTGAGCTCTCCCAGCACACCTGCTTGGCTGTGTGGCTCAGCTCCACTGCAATATCGATGCCTGAATTCCCAACGCCAACCACGACCACCTGTTTTTCCATGAAGGGCTGAGGGCTCTTGTAGTCCCGGCTGTGCAGATAGCAGCCCTCAAACTTTTCCAGCCCTGGGAGAGAGAGAGAAGCCATGCTGGGCTGGGATGTGGAGGAGAAGGGTGGCTGCCTCCTGTTCAGACTGGTGGTGTATTTTGAACAAGCTAGGACCAGTGTGACCAACAGGAGTTATGCAGCCCTGAAGTAGTGCCCAGAGAGGTGGTGGCATCACCAGCATGGAAGATTTTCAGCGTAGCCCTGAGCATCTTGCTCTGGCTTTGGGACTAGCCTGGCTTGGAGCAGGGCTTGAACTGGAGAATTCCTTGCCTCCATCCCAAAATTCTGCTGCAGGTCCTGTCTGGTGCCATGCATTGCCAGTAGAGGAACAACCACAGGGTCTGTGCCACCTCACCAGACCCTGCTGACAGTGTGCTCCAGCCTGTTCCCCAGCAGGAGAGGGTCTCCACAGCTGAAAGCTCTCCAGGCATTTTCCCCTGGCTCCCAGAGGCAGGACCACCACCAGTGCTGAGCCCTCCAGCCTTGGTGAGGAGCTGGAGAGCCCAGCAGGTGCCTGGCCAGCAACATGAGAGGGAGCCTGGCTCAGGTGGGAGAGGCACGCTGGCAGTGGTGACATCTTTGGGTGCTTTGGACACTCATGCAAGTGGGAACCTGGTGTGTTAAACTGCAAAGGCACTTAGGGATGTCAGGGAGCAGGGGAGCAGCTCACAGGCAGTACCTGGGAAGGAACTGAGAGGGAGATGTGCGTCGGTGTGGTGCCCACTGCACACCAGCACGGCGTCAAAGACGGCCGCCTCCTGCTTCCCCTGGCTCTCCGTCACCACCTCCCACTGGCCGCTGCTGGCGAAGTCGGGACGCTTGGACACGCGGCACACGCTGGTCTGGGCGCAGGGGGAGCGGTGTCAGGCACCCCGTGCCCCCCGTTCCCGCTGCCACCCGCCCCTCGGGCCCCAGCTCTCACCCTGAAGCGGATGTGGCGGAGCAGGTCGAAGTGCTGGGCGTACATGCGGAAATACTCCATGATCTTGGAGTTGTGCATGTAGTTGGGGAAGTCCTCAGGGATGGGGAAGTCGCTGAAGCACATCATCTCCTTGGAGGTGTTGATGATGACGGAGCGGTAGATGCTGGCACGGCCGTCCTCGGGGCGCTCCTGTGGGAGCGGGGCACAGCTCAGCGCTGGCTGGGGAACGATGGGCTGCCTCCCTGCCCTGCCTGGCACCTCCACTATGGGTGCAGGATTAAGCCATAGGTTGTTGTAGCACCCATCCCTCCACCCAGCACTCTCCTGTGGTTGAGACTCCCCACCCCATAAAACAGGGATGTAGCTCTGGACTGGCAGGAGCCAGGCAGCGGTGACAGTGGGTCATGGTGGTCTTGTGCCTCAGTTTCCCCACTTCCACTCCTTGCCCCTGTGAGGTAGTGCGTTCACAAAGCTCCTGTGGCTGCCACATCAGGTATTGCTGGTTGTGGAGCCAGCTCCAGTGCTGGCTGCTGCGTGGTTGCTCCTGCTTACCAGTTCTGTGCCTCGGCAGCTGGATGCTGCTGCTCTGGTTCTGCTCCACCAAGCCTGTCCTTGACCCATCACAGGTAGAACTAGCAGACTGTGACAGATCCACCCCAGACCCCACTCTGGCTTGGTGCCACCTGTGTTCCCCCAGGGCTCTCCCACACATGTATCAAGGCATGGTGGGAACACTGTTCATCTTGTTCCTAGGTCCATGGGATAAAATTCAGCAGCCTTAGTAGGTGGGGACAGAGAAGAGCTCCAGGATTGCTCCAAAGCAGGGAGAGCCAAGGCACAGAGAAGGCAACACGTGGTGTTTCTGCGTGGGAGAGTGGCACAGGGGCAAGAAGAGGCACAACCATGATTCCAGGAAAGGGCTGGGCAGTACAGGGAAAGGGACAGACAGTGGGGTGGGATAGGTAGGAAGGAGCTGGGAGCAACCAGAAGCAAAATGGCAGGGGAAGGTGTGGATGAGAGTGGGAAGGGAGGGATGGGAAAGGGGAAGTCTGAGCTGGGTGAGCAAGCCATGGAGTCAAGTCCTTGGGGAGGCTTCACTCTGCTGCTGGTGAGCAGGATTGGGTCCTATGTGCCTGGCACACCAGCTGGCACCACACTACCAAATCAGTTTTACTTTCCTGTGGTTTTCCTTGGGAACCTGCCTGCTGCACACACTCAAAGCAGGGCAGTGGTGTGTTGTTCCCTGCCAAGGACTAATCCCAAGCCCATCCATGCTGCTGCCACGAAGCAGGCTGGCTGCACAGGGCTTACCTCAAAGCGCCACAGCCCCCCGATGTCCTTGCTCCTCTCAAAGCAGGTGGGCTCCAGCCCCTCCTCCAGACAGCATTTCAGGGCACACAGGCCAGAGGCACCGGCACCGATGATGGCTACTCTCTGGGCAGCCATGTCCCACGGGGTGCTGGTGGCAGGGGTACCGGAGAAGCTGTGGCTGGGAGTTGCAGAGCCGGGTGTGTCTCTGAAGTGAGGCTGCCTGGTGCTGCTCAGTTTGGGGATGACTGTCCCTGTGCTTCAAGTGGGCGGTCAAGGCGTCACAAGATGTGTTTCTTCCTGACATGATCTACAGGTTTCCTTCACCACCCTGCCACACCTCCTGCTTCCACCTGACCTATGCAAGAGGCACATCAACTTCTGTAAGCATTTAATGATGCCGACATTGCCCCAGGACTTCCTGGGCAGGGCAGAGATGTGGCTATGCTTCAGATTTTGGCAGGTTGTGGGATGGAAAACAAGCCTAGGAGATGGTGGAGGACTGGCATGACCAGCCCAGCCATGTGATGGACAGGACCCCCATCCTTTACCCAGTCTGGGTCCCCAGCCGACCCAGCCAACTTCCAGAATGGCTCTGTGCAGGTGACCAGAGTGGCAAGGAGCCCTGCCACTGTGACCCAAACCTTGAGAGAGGTTGTCTTGCTGTGGAATGTGTGTGCATGTCAGCCCATGGTGTAGTGGGCCAGTGCTACAGGGCCGATCTCAAACCCGTGAGCGTCCCCGCAGCACACAGAGGGTCATGATGGTCTCAGTAACAGGACAGACACTTGGCTGTTTAATGCATTTATCCACTTAGAAAGTGTGCTGTGCCTTTGCTGCTTAGCTCTGCTGCGTGTGGCAAAATTGGCACAGCTGGGTTACAGGGGACAGAAAAGCCTGGAGCACTGGCTGAGGGGGGCTGGAATTTAGCCTGCAGTGAGCAGGTTTCCTCCTCTGTCCATGACAGCACTCCCAAAGGGGAGGTGCAAAGCAGGAGCCCAAGCATTATTTTGGCAGCTGGGGAGGTTCTGTGCATCCCTAGCTCACGCTGTGGTCACAGCTGGGCCATGCCAGGCGGGAGGAAGGTTTCTGCCACCATGTGGGTGCACAGACAGCCAAGGGGCAGCAGTGACCAGCCAGTCCCACAGCACATTGCAAAGCCTCCCTTCCTGCCCTTGCAGGGCATCTACAAGTAAGCAAAAACAGCTGCCAGGATGGCCACAGCCCCAACCAGCTTGAAGATGAGGGGCATGGTAGGGGCTGAGGTGCTCTCTTCCACGTGTCGTGTCTGCAGGGGCTTGAGGATGCGCTGCTGCTGGGTGAGGATGGCCTCCCTGGCCCCTGGCCACGCGCCCGGGCCCCGCAGCCGGTACTGGTACGGCGTGCAGGGCCCAAAGGCCACCTCCATCGCCAGCTTGGGGTCTGTGAGGAACAGGGTGAGCAGGTTGGGCTTGACTCCCAGCTGGCAGGCGAGCTCATCCATGTAAGGGATGTAATCCACCTGGATGGTGTGGCGCTGGCTCTTCACGTACCTGTGGGCAGGGAGGGAGGGCAGGTAGGTGCTGGAAGCAGAGCTGGCAGATGCCCTGCACGCCAGGAAGGTGGTATTGGACAGACCAGACTGGGGGTGGTGCAGCCAACCACATCCCTGCCCTCTGCTGGCACACAAAAATGTGCCAGGACGCATCCATGGGACAGGATGGATGCCCATAAGCAGCTGTGCCGAAGGCAGCCCCTCGGTGGTCCCGCAGGGATCTTACCGCTTTGCCATCGCTTCTTTCTTCTGCTCAATGTCAGCCTCCATGTCGTGCTGCGGGGGCAGCTCGCTCAGACCTGGGGAGGATGAGACACAGCGGCCACTGTGGTGCTGCCCTTGCCTGGGTGCTGTGCCTCTGCCAGCACCACCGTGGTGTGTGTGGTCTAGCACCAGAGGCATGTCCGAGTGCCTCGGGATGGGAAGGAGCAGCCCGTGGAGCTCAGGGTATGCGTGTCCCTGTGCCTCTCAGAGAAGAGGCCATCTCACCGTGACAGCTACAAGGCAGCTGTGCCATCACCATGGCCAGGATGGCACAACCAGCTGCTGCCTGCTTGACATGGCTGGGCACCATCTGCCCTCACTCCAGGGCCGCATCCACAGGGCAGGTTTTCCTGACTTACCTTTGAAGACACGGGTGGCCCAGCGACACTGGAGCTCGGAGATGGGCATGATGGCACCCAGGGGCTGGATGAAGCCAATGAAAGCCAGCGTCGGCTTCTCCAGGTCAGGGGGGAACATGAATTTGTAGAGGGGAATCTGGTTCTCCACCACCTTGAAGCCCTCGAGGAACGGGAAGGAGAAGCTGTATCCCGTGGCAAAAACTACGGCATCGACGTCTTCCCTGGTGCCATCCTCAAAGATGGCAGATGTCTCCGTGAACTCCTGGATGTTCGGCTTCACCCGCACCCGGCCCGAAATGATGCGGTTGGGCAGGTCATCGTTGACTGTAGGGTGCTGGTGAAAGACCCTGGAAGGTGCAAGGAGCCATTAGGGCAAGGGAAAGGGAAAGTGTTTCTACTCCATGTCCTGCTCCAGCTGCTGCTCCCTGCTTTGGGAATGCTCATCCCCAGGGATGCTCAGCAGCTGCCCCTGCACTACTGTCTCCAAGAGTCCTTGGAAGGGGCAGTGGTGGCTCTCTCAAGCAGTGCCTGGGCACAACAAATCTGATAACCCAGTCCAAGCACAGGGAGCATGGAACAGGACAGCTGGGCAGGACACAGAGGGAGGCAGACAATCCCTTCTGGGCAGGGGCAGTGTTTGTTGATACCTGTGCTTTGGCTTCAGGCCGTAACGTGAGTGGTCGAACCTGGCATTCAGCTTGCTCTCCATGTAGTCACATGCCACAGATAAACTTAACAGCCCCTGCAGGAATGTCTTGATGCGGGTGGTTAAGATGGTGTCGATGGGGTAGCCCTGATCTCCAACGCGGTTGAGGATCCACGCACCCCGGCGGGTGCTGAGGAAGACCTGGACAAGGAAGAAGGATCACTTCCTGAAGGCAGTGATATTCCTGGGAGTGCTGCCCTGTGGAGGACATGCCCTTGCCCTGGGATCTCTGCTTTTTGCTGCCCAAGCGTGGGGTAAAGACCCAGAGAGCAGAGGGAGCTGGTGACTGGCACCTCAGAGGGGAGTGGGACCAAGTCTCAATTGCCTGGCAGCTGGGATTGGCAGGAGCCAGCACTGCCAAACACAGCGAATGCTGGCACAGAGCAGCAGCTGTGCAAGTGCCTTGGTCCTGGTGTCCCTGCAGAGCTGACAGTGTCCCACAGGGACAGTCCTGCCCTGCTTACCTGCTGGGCGGTTTGGCTGATCTCCACAGCCAGGTCTGACCCTGAATTCCCGATCCCGATGACAACAACCCTTTTGTTTGTGAAAGCCTGAGCATCCTTGTAGTCTCGGCTATGGAGGTAGCGGCCCTTGAACTTCTCAATTCCTGTGAGCAGGGAGGAGAGATGCTTGGCTTCCTGGTGCCAGGTTGGAGGATCACCCCCCTAAAGACTGGGGACTCTCCCTTGCCCCACCAAACCACTCCTGGGAAGCACAGGAGCACTCCTGGAGTCAAAGCAAGGCAGGGAAATGCTGGGGCCAAGAGGGGAAGCAGCAGGGAGAATAGGGACTGGGATGGACGAGCTTTCCAGAGTGTCCCCCCATGCCAGTGTAGAGGGCAGTACCTGGGAAGGAACTGAGAGGGAGATGTGCGTCGGTGTGGTGCCCACTGCACACCAGCACGGCGTCAAAGACGGCCGCCTCCTGCTTCCCCTGGCTCTCCGTCACCACCTCCCACTGGCCGCTGCTGGCGAAGTCGGGACGCTTGGACACGCGGCACACGCTGGTCTGGGCGCAGGGGGAGCGGTGTCAGGCACCCCGTGCCCCCCGTTCCCGCTGCCACCCGCCCCTCGGGCCCCAGCTCTCACCCTGAAGCGGATGTGGCGGAGCAGGTCGAAGTGCTGGGCGTACATGCGGAAATACTCCATGATCTTGGAGTTGTGCATGTAGTTGGGGAAGTCCTCAGGGATGGGGAAGTCGCTGAAGCACATCATCTCCTTGGAGGTGTTGATGATGACGGAGCGGTAGATGCTGGCACGGCCGTCCTCGGGGCGCTCCTGTGGGAGCGGGGCACAGCTCAGCGCTGGCCAGGGAATGATGGGGAAGGATGGCTGGGGCTGATGAGATGCTTCTTTCCATGGAGCCCCTTCCTTCAGTCTCACCCACAGGATCCCACTGTGGTCGGTTGCCACCCCAGCAGCCACCGCTGACCCCTGAGGGTCACCGTGCTGACCCCAAGCAGGACACGTGGCCAGCAGGGTTTACCTCAAACCTCCAGAGGCCTCCGATGTCGCCGGTCCTCTCGAAGCAGACGGGCTCCAGCCCCTCTTGCAGGCAGGCTTTGATGGCACACAGCCCACTGCTGCCCCCGCCGATGATGGCCACCTTCTTTGCCATGCTGCGCTCCACCACCGGCTCTCTCTGCCTGAGAACAGCTTCGGACGGCGAGGCTTGCAAGACTTGCACCCTGCAGTACCAAAGAGGTCCCAAACAAGACAGGCAGCCCTTCAAAAGTTTGTCTGGGGTTGCAGAGCCACTGCTGTCCCCCGTCAGGTGTGGGTCTGGCCAGTGCTGGGTTTTGCACTGCAGTGGTGTTGCCTCTGGATGTCTTGAGGAGAAATCCTACCGAGTGCCAGGGAGCCTCAAAATCTCCCCGCCCATGCCAAGTCCCGGCCGTGGAGGTGCCCTGGAGTGCTGTGCCGTGCTGTAGGGACCGACGGCTCCCTCCCGGGTGGCTGACAGCCCCTCTCTGCCTGCCCTTTGCCCCCTCCCTTCCCCGGGGAGATTCCTGCTGTACTGTCCCGGTGCCCGCTGCGTGCCGGCAGCTCGGGGCACACCTTTCACCGACCTGCGGCCGTGGGATGAGCAGCCCAGGGAGGGCTGGCGGCTGGCACGGAGCCGTGCGAGGGTCTCTGCCGGGGTGCCCCCACCCGTGAGGCCGGCCTGCAGCCTGGCTTTATGGTGCGCAGTGTCCGGAGCGGAGCCTCCCCCTCCGTCACTCCTCCCAGGGGCGCGGGGGAAGGAAGCCACATCCCGGCTGGCTCCGGCCGCCTGCACGGCTGTTCCGGCAGCGGTGTCGCCACAGCCTCGGCCGGCGGCCTTAAGGAGCCATCCCAGGCGCTGCGCAGGACACGCAGCCGATCCTTGTGGTTGCGTGCTTGGTAAACAAACGCTGCCCTAGACTTTCACCCTAGGATTATCATCAGGATCAGCCCAAGCCCGGTTATTCTGGTACCTGGGGTGACACACGGCTCTGGCCGCTCCAGTGACAGGCGGCACTGTATCACCCACATTCCATGTGCCCCTGGGCTGGGCATATCGGCGCTCTATCGTGGCTCTGTAGCCATGGCTTACTCCTGGGCTAGCAGAGTCCTTGGGACCAGTGGAACTCCGGTGCGAGGAGCACCAGGCTCTTGGGGTATCCCTGGGTGGTGGGACCGGTCAGGAAAAGGTTGTCCCTCACAGCAGGAGGCACAGAGCTGTCAGATCCAAACTTGCTGCTGGCTCCTGGTACACGCACAGCCAGGCGGACCCTGAGCCCTACCGGGGAAATTCGCTCTTTTATATCCAGAGAACTCTGCTGTAGAGCTAAAACCCTTACTGTATGTTTACATACAGTTAAGATTAATAAACCTATTTCTGTCCCTTGCTGTTGGCAAGGGCTGGTCTCTGCCTGGGGCAGAGGTGCTGAGCTGCCAACCCACACTCTATGCTTGCCTGTCAAAAAGCACCAAAAACATCTTACCAAGCAAGGGATCAGCAGAGGAACGGAGAGGTGGCAGCACTGGCAGTGCTGCTCTTCCTGCCCCGCTGTCAGCTGGCTTCTGGCTCTTTTGCAAGCTCTGCACAGACTGCCCAAGGGGCAACAGGTACAAGGGACCTCTCTGAGCTCTGCACTGCTCTGCTGTGCTATGAAACCTCTGTGCAGGTTGACTCTGAATTTGCCCTTCTCCCTACCTGCTGCATAGCCCTGGACTTTACCCTTCTGTAGCTGGCGTCATAGCACAGACAAACTCTGCTGTCAGGCACCAGGGTCATGCCATGATATTTTGGTCCAGGTTGGTGTTTGGTTGGTTGATACCTGTGGAAATTCACAGTTTCCCATGCCTGGCAAGCACCCAGGATGTAGAGTGTGTGCAGCAGTGTCTGCTGTACAGTCCCAGCTCTGGGCTTCCACAGTGGGCAGAAATGCCATGGGACAGGTGGAGCAGAAAGCTCCTCTGTCCTATCGGTGGGTTGCACCCATGCTTGGAGGCAGTGACAAGTGACAAGCACAGAAGGAGAGCAAAGGTCACTCTGGTGGAGCTGCAGAGAAGCACAGAAGAGGTGAGAGGGTGGCCAGGCAGCCTGTGACCCAGCAGGGCTGTGCAGTGGTGATGGTGGGTGCTACCAGGACCTCATGGAGTATTATGCAAGTGAGTCAAGAGCAACCTTTTGCCACACGTGTGTAGGAGCCACAGATGCACGGGTTGCTGCTGTACCCTCCATGATGTAGAGAGGAAAACTCCAACAGCTCCAAGAACAGACTCTAAGTGCAGACAAAAAACACACTGTGTTTTGGAAAAGGTAGAGCAAAGATGTTTTGGCACAGCACAACAAGCCCTGCCCACCCCAAACGCTGCCCACCCAGAGTGTGCCACCTGCCTGTGCTCCCACAGCCACCACAGGGCTGGTGTCTGCCTTGGGGCAGGAGGGCTGGCCAGAGTGTCCTGGTGCTGCTGTGCAAATGCTGAACTGGCCCAGCTGGCTGCCAGGCATGCAGTGCAACCCAGGGGATTATTTTTTGGTCACTGCAGCACCAACCCAGGAAGCTTCACCTGTCAGTGGGTCAGGGCTCAGCTTCAGGGGAACCCTGTCATGTCAAGCACTTCCATTTCAGCCCCTGTACAACTGACAGTGACTGGGCACTCGTACCAGCAGCCATCAGGCTGCTCCTGCACACTCCACCCAGGAGAACGCTGCTTTCCTGAGTGCCTAATAGACCTCAATGACCACAAAGCCTCACCTCACCAATCCCTCTACCCACATGCCAGGAGCACTGCTGAAGCTGATGATTTGAGCTCAGTCTAGAGCCCTCACTCCCTGCCTGGCTGTGGTCCCTGATGAAGTGTGTTCTACAGCTTTCTGGCTCAGCCTCGGCCCCAGCTCATTATAGAGGCTTCTCGTGGTCCCCTCCTGCCAAGCACCAGCAGTCCTCTGTGAAAAACAGGCTGCCAGTGGTGCCAGGGGAGGAGAGCCAGCCTGCCTGGAGCACAGGGAGCTGTGGCAGTGGTTGGCAGAGCCAGGGCCTCTTGCTGCAGGAAGTGCAGGCAAGGCTCAGACCTGGGGCTGGGTGTGTTTCTGGGCTCTGGGAAAGGGCTGGCTCTGCAGGACTCTCTCTGCAGCCTGGAATATGCTATCAATCAGCAATTGCTGTGAATGCATTGCACCTCCTGAGAAACTGAAAACCCCGTGGAGGGAAAAAGGAACTGGGAATTTCTGGACAAGAGCTTCAGGAGCAGACTGCTGCTGGGAACTGCTTGCCCCGTTGCCCTCTGGATGATCAACCCTTCAGTGCCGCTATCCTTTCCCCATGGCTCTGGGAGCCATGTGCTTGACATCTAGCCTTAGTGCAGCACTTAAATTGAGAGCAATAGGGAAGAGATTGCTTAGGGAGGCAAAGCTCTTTCTAACCCTGAGGAGAGCCCCCCGTGGGTCCCCTGCAGGCAGGTGCTGTAGAGCAGGCTGTGTGCAGGGTATGCTTATGACAGCAGCATGATCAGTGTATTTATAGGATACAGATACAGGGGTGATTGTAGAGAAACCTCTGCAGTCACAGCTACCACATACACCATGGGCTAGTGCAGCTGCCCAGCGAGAGCATGCAGATTCACAGTATTAGCAGTGAGCTGCCGGATGGGTGTGCTGAGCCCTCCCCAGGCTCTGCAGAGACCGCCTTTGGTCACCAGAGAACCGTCAGCGCAGACCGTGCCCGACAGCCCAGCAGGAGGGCAGGACAGCACCAGACAGCTGAGCGCAGGCCCTGGAGCCTGCAGCACAGCTCATGTACGAATCTTGGCCAGAACAATGGGGTTTAGGATGCCAGTTCAAGTTCCAGAATCCCCTCCCTGTGCGTGCTCAGAACACCAGCACACGGCCCACGCTTTGTGCCGACGCCAGCGGTCGCTCAGTGGCTCCAGAGCGCGAAGAGGGCGGGCGCGGTGGCCGGGGACAGCCAGCAGTGCTCCACCACGCCGTACAGCGCGTAGCCCAGCAGCAGCCCGAAGAGCACGTCCGTCATGTTGTGCCTGCCCAGCATGACCCGGGAGATGCTGACGATGAGAGCCCAGAGCACCACGAGCACCCGCAGAGGGACGGCCAGGACCAGGTGGCGCAGGACGAAGCGGCAGACGAGAGCGGCCCTGGTGGCGTGGCCCGAGGGGAAGGAGTACTTGTCCACCGAGATGGTGACGAACATGTCCATCTTGTTGTGCGTGGGCCGCGGCCGCTTGACGAGCCCCTTCACCACCGCCACCATCACCAGGTCCAGCAGCAGCGCTGGGAGAGACAGGAACAGGGGGTTACTGAAAGCAGAACATCAGCTTAGGGAGGACTCGGCTGTCACCTGCCTGAAGGTGATGTTTTTCCCCGTGGCTGAGGCATATCCAGGCAGGGACAGCACAGCACACAGCTGCTCTTGGCCTTCTGCAGCAGAATGAGCACACCAAGCTCTACTCCTCTGCACACACCCCTCCTGCACCAGCAGATCCTGGCCTGCCACAGGTGACAGCCTGCACCCCAGGGCCTTTCTCTCTGTGCAAAATCTGATCTTGCCGTGACTCGGGGCTCAATCTGATCCTTAATCTGAAAGCAGCAGAGGCATTAAGTCCCACAGCTCTTTTCCTGGCAGTGCTGACTCTGCATTGGTTTGTCTGCCCTGGTGAACAGGGTCAAACTGACTGGGTGAATGATCAACCCACTCCAGTCCAGCACAGGTCAGTGGGAAATGCTCAGAGTTGGTGTGGTGCCTGGGCTCCTGGGTCTGGCTTCTCCCTGTTCCTGGAGGAAAAGTTAACCATGCTTTGGTTCTCAAGAGATGAATAAAGGATAATTTATGGTGGCTTGCCCCTTGAGAGCTAAAGGCTGTTGTGATAGAAGAACCAAAGTACCTGTGAAAAGTGTTCAAGCCAGGATTTGGCAAGAGCAGCTTCTCATGTAGGGCAGAGGCTGCTTTCTTCATCCCTGTTAGCTCAGCTTAGCACTCGCAGCCAGGGCTACTTATTCCAGGGATGTTGTGTAAGAGACCAACTTCTGTTTGTCCTAAGACTTGTTTCTGCACACCAAATATTTCGGTCACTTCAGTTCATTTCCTTCGGTTAATCATTTAAGAGCAAATTTTCTTTATTTTATTTTTTTTCCACATGTAAAATTAGATCAACTGCTTTTTCTGAGGGAATCCTCCTTCCCCACATGGGTGCTGCAGCCCTGGGGCAGATCCTCAGGGAGATGGGTGGCTCTGGCCCAGAGCACTGAGGGCTGGAGAAAGCCATGGTGCTGGGACAGCTCTCCCTGGAGCAGAGGTTAGGCTGGAAGCATCCAGGTCCCTTCCCACAGCTCTGCTCATTTAACCATGTGCTGTTAGATGAGAAAGATGCATAAACCTACGTTTCCCACCAAGCAAATTTCAATTCAAATTCTAAGTGTGAGATCCTAATTATTTGCAACTTAATACAAAAGTAACAACAAGGAATCTCAGAAGGTCTGGTGCTCTGGAGCTATTACAATTTCTAAATAAGCAAAAAAGAATTTTCTTAAATATACCTAGGCTGCTCTGTGTGTGTGAAATACATCATGCAGGATTAAAATTCGTGCTTTAAACCAAGTTTCCTCACCGGCTGGCACAGAACAATCCACCAAGGCCCTGCCTGCAGGGAGCCGAGGGCAAACGTGTGTGTGCCAGAGCAGCTTTTCAGGGAAAGGGCTGGTATCTCAACACCAGGCAGCTGCACCTGGAATGCGCTGCTGTGACAAGCTGGAGGGGCTAAGAGAGGCTTCAGCCCCGAGAGCATTTTGTAACCGCAGGAGCAGTTTAGCTGTCGGGAGTTTCCCAGTGCGTGGTGGCAGCTGTGACAGATGAGTCGCGCTGCTGCCACCACGCCCTGAAGCCGCAGGGTCACTCCCTTTGCTAGCAGGCATGCAGATGAGCCTGCACAGGCTGCTCAAAATCAGCTGCTGCTCTCGAGGTTTAGGCTGAGCCAGCTCTGCCGCGTCCCTGGGGTCCCCCCTCCGCAGCCCCCCGCCTCACCGAAGAGCAGGTTGAGCAGCACCTCCCTGGCCGCCGAGCTGTCACTCTGGCAGAGCCCGTAGAAGGTGCCGAGCAGCCAGGGGATGCCATGGCCCGACACCTCGATCACCTTCATCAGGGGCCGGGCGCTGCCCCAGGCCGAGCCCTCTCCAGCGCACACCCCCAGGCGCTTGGAGGCCCAGAGGTCGATGGCGAGCAGGGAGCTGAGGGCGATGCCCACGAAGGACGGGTTCAGCTTCATGCAGTCCTCCTCGGGCAGCGGGGCGGCCGCGGTGCCGGCGGGCTCCCTGCGCCGGGAGGGGCTGTCGGGGGCGGCGGGCCCGCGCTGGCTCAGGGACAGGAACTCCAGGCGGCCGCCGCTGCCGGCGCGTCGCTCGCGGCTGCTCCGAGGGCTCGGCATGGCGACGGGAGGCGGCCTGCGGGAGCCGGGAGCCGGTCACCCGCTGCCAGGCCCGCTCGGGACCCAGCATGTCACCCTGCCCGGGGCCGCTTCCCTCTCCCCCTCCCCGCGCCCTGCCCGTTATCTCCCCGCTCTCGGAGCGTCCCCAAGGACGCGGCGGGAGCGGCGCGCCCGCGCTTCCCCCGGTACCGGGCGGCCCCGGCGCTGCTTCCGCTTCCTGTTCCGCTTCCGCTCGTGGCGCCCCCGGCGCGCCCCTCCCACCGGCGCGCACGTGCCCGCCCCGGCCGGCGTACGGCGGCCGGCGAGGGCCGGAAGAGACGCGGCGGCGCCTTCGCCCTGCCGGCGCCGGTGCGGGCGCCGTGCGGCGGGCGGCGATGCGCGGCGGGCGGGCGG